GAATTCAATGTCAGCCTGGGCTACACAGCAAGTTCAAGGGCCAGCCTTAACTGCACAGTGAGGCCCTACCTTAAAAAAAAAAAAAAAAAAAAAAAATGAAGCATATCTTGTCGAAAACAAGGCACTATTCTAAATGTCTCATTCATTTCTCCTATCAGCCCATGAAGAATGTTTTATAGATAAGAAAACAGAGGCAGAGAGGTAAGACACTTTGTTCAAGACCATACAATCAAAGCAGTCTGGCTGGAGTATTTAATAGCTACAACAGGACAGGCTTTTAATACATTGACTGGGTTAGTCTAAATTTGCTTTAAAAAAAAAAAAAATTCTAAAATACACTTTTTGTTAAAAATAGTACTTACATGTCAAAGCAGTACAGAATAAAACTTTCATCAACTGAATTACTTAAGATTTATTCCTATACCATTTTACTAGTGGTGTATTTTTCTTATGCATAGAGGGTAAAATGCAGTTTTTTTCCCTCAGCTAAAAACCTAGAATTCAGAAATTGAAAGACTTGAATATTGGCTCAATCTTTCCACAAAACAGTTGCAATAAACAGGATATGGAAAGGAGGGATGGAGGCAATGCAAGACCCCATACCCCTATGGTACACACGCTGCAGCCGGCTGTATCACTGAAAGCTCATCACTATGCTACACTGTTTGTCTGAAGATGGAGGAAACTAGGAGCTAGGAATGCAGGTATGTTCAGAAACGGCCAACAGCCAAGGAAACGTTTTGCCACAGGCGCCTTCTCAAGAAACTCCTGTGCTGCTGATGCCTTTACTTCTGCCTAGTGAGACAGGATTTGGCACTTTGGTCTCCAGAATTAATACATTTGCACTAAGCCACCAAACTGGTAATTTGCAATAGCACAAATACAACACCTGAGAAATAATGCGTAGACATCACTTTCAGAAATACCTGCACAAAAATTTAATGTAGGGCTATCAACTCAATCTGAATAAAAGGTTCTGTATCTTGTGAAATTGCTGAGAAAGCATTAAGACCATAAACTCATAATAGCACAGGTATCACTTCCCTTTTCTCTGTAGACTGTGGAATCCTATCAGAATATGATTTAAAAATACAATTATGAAAAGATCCTAAGTATCAAAATTGTACTTTAATGAGGCAAATTCCTCTTTGGGATTCCATGAAACTAATTTTTATCTCCCCAGCAGAAACATTTCTGTGGAAATAGTTTAAAACTCACAACCTCAAAGGACTAGGATATGCATACTCCCTCAGTAGTACTCAATTTACAAACATCAAGATTAATTAGTGGTATGTAGTATTTCCACTTCCATTATAAAGAAAACAAAAAGTCTCACCACATAAAGGAATATAAAACTATTTATTGACCACTGCTCACCATTATTTACAATAAAGTAAACAATATACATTAGGATAACATTCTGACTACTACAAAGTTGATTTCTTGGCTTTTGCTGAAAACAGTAACCTGAATACTGAAAAGATTGAGCCTACATGTAAGGAGTAAGTCGGGGTCAAGAAAAACATGCAGGTCAATAATTTAGATTACAAGTTTGTTCACTCATTTATTCTAGCAGGTCCTAAAGTGTGAACAGCTATAGCCACTCAGTAGGTTTCCATGAGCCAAGTCTTAAGACATCCAAGAATCCTGACTTTTGAGTACAGATTTTAACTTGTTGTAAAGTAATGGGTCATGAAGAATCTTTAATGTTCCCTTAACAAGTCTTCCTTAGCTAATTCAAACAAACTAGGTTTTGACTTGCTGCTTTATTTGGGTGGGGAAGTTGTTGGTAGAGCTAATAATTCTTTTCAGGAATTTTGCAAGTAAACTGCATTTTTGTGACTAAAGTCACAGATATGGATTCCGATAGGGCTGCTTTGAAAATATCCAAATTAACCACAGGATTATCTATCCAACTTGAAAGGTTATGCCTTCAGGAAAACTTTCTATTTAACTGAAATGATTTATTTCTTAGGTTGCTCAGAATGATGGCATCTCAAAGATGAGCTTATCACCCATAGTTTTTGTTTTGATGAATGTTTAAAAACAAAACAAAAACCATTTACATACGTATTTTATTTATACACACACAAACAAAAAACTCAGAATGGTCCTTAATCATGTGAGCTAAACCATGAGTTCTGATTGAGTTTGACTATGGACAATTCTCTCAACATTTAGAAAGGCAGAGGAAATATATCAGGCTATCAAATGCTCTTGTCTGATAAAGGAAGCAACTACAAAAGCTTTTATTTGTTCAAAGTAACCAGTGCTACAGATGCAAAACAAAGAAAACCCAACAACTCCCCCAAATACTATTTTCAAAACCAACATATTAAACTTGATTTTCATTAGAATGCTGTTTTTTTCCACACCATTAAATCAAAACCAAGACCCATATTTTATATATATATATATAAATATATATAAAAATGATGTAAATTATTGAGCTTCATCTTCTGGACAAGAATGCCAAGTTAGTCTCTCTTCATAGAAAGCAATCACAATCTGAGGACATTTCATATTTGCCTCTTTTGCCAGCACCAAGTCAGCCTCATCTGAATCTTTCCTATTGTAAAGAAAAAAATTCAGTTAAAAGTTTAAATTGTTTATGCCAACTGAGAACCATTCTCTTAACTTCATTTTCCAAAACAGGCCATGGTTTGCTGATCATCACTTTAAAACTATTATCAAAACAAGGATCTTCCTTTCAACAAATAGTTACCCTCTACCTTACAATGGAAATTACTTATAAAACTTTTCTTAGATATGCTGTTACAAAATTTTTAAAAAATATTTATTCTTACTTTAAAACATAATCTCCTATACACTTACCATTTCATGAGAAACATCAATTCTCCACTACTATCCGTGGCACCAATTATTCGTTCAGGATCAAGACCTCTAGCAAAGCCTCTAGGTTTGTCAGCCTATTTAGAAGAGGTAAAGTGATTAAATATAACTTCTATCAAAGCTTTCCAACAGTGAAACAGAAAACACTAGACCAAAAGTCTGCACTTGGTATTATGAACACTTCATAATTTCTATTACTTTTAAAAGAAAAAATAAATGTTTCATATTTGATGTAGAATATTTAAAGGTTCTAAAACAATTGTGAATCAAGTCAAGAAAACAGTCTTTATCAAAAGGCATTAAACAGCAGAACAGTGTGGGATTACAGAAAAACCAATTCCTTTATTTCTGGTAATAATACTTATAAGCTTATTAAAACTAGTATTTCAAATTACTTCTAGGAATTAAGCCTGAATTATCCACAATTTTTTTTTTTTTTTTTTTTTTTTTTGAGACAGGGTCTAGCTATGCAGTTCAGGCTGGCCTCAAAGTTGCAACAATCCTGCCTGGATCCTCCCTCAGCCTCCAGAGTGCTGAAGTGCTGGGATTACAGGTGTGTGCCACTAGGCACGGCTTACCCACATATTTTTTAAAACAAAATAAAAGTAGTAAAAACGTTAAATGAAACACTTATATATATGATTTACTTTCAGAACCAAATTTGTAATAGACTTTTCCCACCTAATGGGACATATATAACCTTAATAAAACTGTCATGAAAATACATAACGAACGGACGGTCAACTTTCAAATCAATCCTCTTTACTAATATGATCCATGTTTTAGGCTTAGTGTCTGAGCCAAGAAACTAATTCAGCACCAAGACCTTATACCAAATTGCCTATACTGGGCCAGCAGGCAAGGCAAAAAAACCTTAAAGGTCAAAGTCAGAAGTTAACTTATTTGTCTAAAACCACAGACAGTGAAGCAAACACTAAATCAAAGCACATGTGTATTGAGTTACTCAAATATCTCAATTCATGCCAATAAATTATAAAACTATTATTAAAAAGTACACACTTAAAATGGTAACACAAATCACACATATATGGATTTTTAAAAATTTCTTGGGTTTATTTTTTGAGACAAGGACTCATGTAGTTCAGGGTGGCCTCAAACTCATTGGGATCCTCCTGCCTCAGCCTTCGGAGTGCTGGGATTACAGGTGTGTGTACCATACCTGGTGAACAGATCACACATAAAAAGTACTTTCCAAAAAACAAAACAAAACAACTTTCCTGGCAGACAACTGCCACTAAAAGACTACACCAAGACATGCTATGCAGATTGCTTTCACTGTAGTGTAAAAAAAAAATCCTAAGTGATCCTCTATGTTTTATTTAAAACTGCTACCTCTGGGTAACAGGTAAGTGGTCTGATGAGGGATCACATCCAGCAATCTATTAAAAAAAGCACTAGCAGTATATTTTAAGTGGCATAAAGTACTCACTGCACATTTATATGCTAACCTATGCTTACCCTTTTCTACCTAAATATTCAGCATTTATAAAGGACTTCTTAGTGGTATTCAAAAAGTACATGAATTTTAAGTCTTTAAAATATTTAAAAATCAAAACCTTTTACAAAAATCTGATCTAGCAGGCAATGTTTTGTACTTACAGCATCTCTTTTTTTCTTTGATTTGCTATCATCAGATTCACTGTCAGATAAAGATTTTCTTTTTGTACCATCTTTTTCTTTACCAGCTTTTTGAGAATTAAGAAACGCTTCAATTAACTCTGGACAATCTAAATTTTCTTCAGGTTCCCATGTATTGTCAGCACTGTGTTCAGTAAAAAAAATATTGATTCAATTAAACATGATTCATGACCATCATCCAGATTTATAAGATATCACGGGGAAAAAAATTTTCTGCATTATATAGACACTTGTTCCCTCCCTGCCCAGGAATTGTTTTTAGAGGATTTGTCTAGACAGTGCTCAAACGTGGAACTGATATAAAGAAGGGGATTGGGAAATCAAAAGCCAAATCCAACCTTCTGTATAGCTTACAAGCTAACAATATTTCTTATATGTTTTTGTTTTGTTTTTTGTCTTTTTGAGACAGGGTCTCGCTATGCAGTTCAGGCTGGCCTTGAGCTCACTTTGTAGCCCAGCCTGCCTCGAACTCGCAAGAATCCTCCTGCCTCAGCCTCCGGCGTGCTGGGATTATAGGCGTGCGCCACCACTCCTGGCTTATTTCTTGTATTTTTAAAAGGTTGGGGAAAATATTTCAAAATAAAAATACAAAATGGCCATGAAGTGTTCCTAGAATAGTCATGCTTATTTAATGCATTATCTGTTGCTGCTTTTATACTATGTTTGCAGAGATGTTGAAAATATAGACACAGCTCACAAAGCCTACAAGTCATACATGATGCTAAAAAGGGGGAAAAGAATTCTAACCCCTGACATAGCTAAGCTGAGATGAGCATTTCCATGTGTTTTTCAAAAGGGCTGTAAAGAAAATAAATTATTAATTAACAAATCGTATGATCATCTTACACTAGTGATAGGCTTTGTAACATTTTGTGCTTTGGTCCCAAAACTACAGAACGAGATGGTGCTATTAGTATACAGCATCCTTGTATCTCAAGACTCCAAAATTCACAAACTTAAAATGGCTGAGTGAGAGGGGAAGGGTATAAAAAGTCACTAATCTAGTGTTTTTTCAGTATAGTTTCCTACATTACTTAATACACTATACCAGTGATGGTGAAGTTTTTAGAGCTTTCAATGATACAAATAGCCCATTGCAGCAAGCATGCCACAGGTTTGCACCACTGCACTGTACTGGACATGACAGGTTCTCATTCACACTAATGGCCTTTGGTTTGGGGAAAAGATACACAAGTCCATTTCTTTCCAAACAGTTCAGTAGGTAGAGCATGAAGACAGCTTTTAATGTCCCATGAGATTCTAGTAAAAACTTTCTACCACTTGAAGGTAATCAACTCTGGTGAATTGGTTACATCTAAATTTAAATAGCTCACAAACTTACCCTATTTTGCTCTGGTATCTGTAAGAAATTTTTTAGTGGTAAATTATGGACTTACGATACATACTTAGGCTCAACTAAGGACAGACACTGAAGGATAAACTAAGATAACCTAAATCTTCCATTCAACAGGTATTTCCAAGGGCCGGGGAGATGGCTCAGTGGCACAGCACCTGCCTGGCCAGTGCAAGGTCCTGAGTTTGATTCCTGGTCGTCCCCCCCCCCAAAACCCCAAACAAACAGGTATTTCCAAATTGCTATGTAGGAAGCTTTAAATGTGAACAGTAGGGGAAGTAGGGGTTAACAGATAACTGAAACTGAATCACTTATATGCCTATCTTCATCATACTCAGGAAATTACCTTCCTGTTTTTTGTCACTGATTATTAAACTGTTCTTGCAAATATGAGCAGATTAGCGTAATAAACACAAGTGCTAAGAGCATAATCTCTGTATGTCTGACGTATCTGAAGGACAGCTAGCATTATGAAAAAATGACTGAGCCAGGCATATAGCTCAGCAGCACAGTGCTTGCCTAACATGCTCAAAGTTCTGAGTTTGAGATTCCTGGTACCAAAACAAAACAAAAAAGACGTGATCAACTCATAATAAGGAGTAACAGGAATCAGAGGATTTAAAAAATGTCCAAGCTCCACTTAAAAGGTTCAAGATATTGTACACTTAGTTTAAGGACCTACTACATCAGTGATAGTGGATCCTTTAGTGCTTTCAATGATACAAACAGCCTGCTGTGGCACGTGTACCCCCAATGACCGACATTATTACAAACATTTCTGTTTAAGACACACTAGTCTATATAGTATAGCTTCAATGTTTTTTAGTGCCCTCTGTTCACAGGAAAGCAATGTAGATTAGATATTTCACTTAACATGGTATCTAACTACATTAAAATTCATTACATAATAAACTATAGTCTCTCCAGGATAATAAACTAGACTCCAAACCTCAGACAAGATACTCCAGAATTAAAGATTTCTTTAAACATTCACATGAGATAACTGACAAAAGATCTAGGCTAAAAATGAAATTTAAGTCCACTTAAATGCAATTAAAAATACAAGCAGCAAAGTCTCTTACTCTGTAAATCCCTTCCACTTCAGAAAATACTCCACTTTCCCATTAACCACACGGCGGTCCAGTACTTTTTCTACCACAAATTCTTCAGGTTCTGCTTCCTCAACTTTTTTACTTTTTCCATTTTGTTTCTTTCCCATCTTTTGCTAAAATAAAACAAGAGAAATGTTAAGAAACATAGACTTTAAAGGCTCACTTTCTTTATTGTCACATGACATAAACTGTTATTTGTACATCTAAAAAGTCAACGGACAATGAATGCTTTACTCCACTTATTTAGCTCACTTACGATCTAACAACCCTCACCAAAGTGACAGAATCAAAAATTATCTGGAAATACTATTATCTTTTCCCAATCTACAAGACCAAATTTACACAGCAACCAATGAATAAAGGTTTATTGAACACCACAATGGACAGAGTAAATAGTAGTGACAGGTCTTATAAAGGAACCCATGGTAGATCTGATATATCTATAGCCCTAAGACAGTCACATACCCTTTTCCCAATTCAGACCTCAATATTAAAAGCCTCAAAGACATAGAGAAAAGGTAACTGCAAAATGGAACACATAGTTTTAGAAACCTGACAGTAACTGCAGGGTCAACAATGGAGACCATGACTTAAGTTTTCCCTGACCACTGGGAACAAATCTATAATGCTGCTACTGCAAAAGATCAAGAGAAAAAAATTGAACTGATTTCCAATCAAATTCATTTAAAACAGAAGTGTTTTCTCTTTTTCATGTGTATCATTTCCTGAGAGAAGCAGGAGCCTGAACTCAGCTATTTCTAATAATTCAACCAGACCTGTTACTTGTAGATCATTTTTAAAAATCTAAAGTGGTTAATTAGACGATATTAAAATAATGAAGTATACAAAACTAACCCAACAAAAAGCACTTAAATAAAAAACCAACAAACTAGGGGCTGGGGATTTAGCTCAGCGGCACAGCACCTGCCTGGCAAGCACAAGGTTGTGAGTTTGATTCCCGGTACTGGAAAAAAAACAAAAAACAAACAAACAAAAAAACAAAAAACCAACCAACTCAAATTCCCAATCATTAGAGATGGTCCACAAGAGCATGCTTACAACAGCAATGCCTCAAGACTACAAAAGGATATGTAAAGGTATAAAAACAAAGATATACACACACTAATGTATCAATAAAACCCTTTGGAAGTTAAAAAAAGCAGAAATTTGATTTTGTTGAGATACTATTGCCAAGTCAGTCATTATTTTTATTACTCAAAACCTTTAAGACATGTGACAAACCTCTAATTACTTTCTGCCTCTGTACAGTGTAAGGAAGGTAAGGGTGACAGTGGGAAGAGCAAGGAAACTGGGGTAGATAGAAGTTTATCTTAAAATAAAAAAAAAATGCAAAACTTCTGAAGTGGCCAATCTGTGGTCTTTTACAAAACAGAAACATAAATACCAATAAATTATACACAATATAGGTTATCTGATTTTGTGTAAAAGCAATTTAATTTCAAAGAGCATCCATTTATTTTCTGTATTTATATGCATCCTTAAAGCATCAGATAGCTCATTTCTTTCCCATTCAATACTTGAAGGATACAGGTAACTGCAAAGCCAATTCTATTATCTGCATTTTAATTTACTGACTATGGAATCTGAAAGTTCAATTCTGAAGAGGTACAGGAAATGCTTTATGCTTTTATCATAGGTGGCTTCAACCTATATAATACACCGCAGACTCATCAAGACAGACTTTACATACCCTAATCTGTTTTTTCCAGAATATTTGATATCATGTACAATTCAATGATGGCACGAATTAAATATCACCAACTTTCCCCTTTTAGTGTGAAATCCAATGGGAAAGTATCAGATCAAAACCAAATGTTTGATCTGTATAGGTGTTAACACCTGTATAGTTAGCATTAATGAAATGTGTTAGAATTAAACACTGCAGGAATGACTTTCATATATCTTGATGCTTTTCTAAATAACTTGCAATGTGACATGGCTAATTACAGTTTCTGTGTCTGTATAACTTGCTATAATCCAAGGATGCAAACTTTGCACAAAGTACTTAGTTTTACATAATATTTGACTTCTCCAAAATTAAGCACAAATCCAAGTAAAACAAAGCTTTGCCTATATTAACATATTCTTCCATGTTACACAAATTTGTGTATTTTTATTTCAAAATGTCCTCCTAAGATTAGGTTTTTTGAAATGAATTTTGAGCCTTTTAGGCCAACTCCATAATATTGTAATGGTAACCATTTCCTTTTGTTCCCAATTCTTCCCCAGGAAACCAGTAAGGGAGCTGCAAAACACACAGATGTAAATTCTCAACTACAGAGATGCAATTAAAATTTTCTGGGAAAAAATTTAATTAGATCCTTACATGTTTAGGCTTGAATTAACTTACCAATGTAGTTTTATTGGAGGCCATTTTTTATCGCAGACTTGAAGAGCTATTACTAGAAAAATGCATGACAGTTAAAAAATTATTTTCACGACACAAAAAAGGTAGGTAAATAACAAGTTTTGCTTTGACTTCATCCCCCACGTAGGTAATGCACGTTTTAAACAGAACAAATCCAAAGCAGCAGATTCGTGCTCCAGGCACTAGGGTTAGATACCTAACCATATCAGTGTTTTAAACAAATTAGTGTACAAATACTTCGCTAAGGGTATTGGTAGCTAAGACGGCTTTAAGTGGCGAAAATATATTCTTTCTGACCTAAGTCTTATTTATAATCTATTCTATTTTTTTAATCGTTTGATTCAAAACTAAACCCAATTACTAATGGTAAACTACCAATTTTTTTTTCTGTAGCCCTCTTAACAGTCCAGGATCTCCTAGCTAATGCACTTGATTTCTTCTCAATTGCAGGCCCTCTTTCTGATCAGCGCTTTAACACAGGAAAAACACTGGGATGCTTCAGATGCATTCCGTGACGCTTCTGAAAAGAGCTCAGCCCCGGCTCGCCTGCTCCCCGGGTCCAAGCCCCGCCCGCCTGCTCCCCGGGTCCAAGCCCCGCCCGCCTTCTTTCCGGCCTCCCAGTCCTAGGAGCCGGGCGCCCACCCTCACCCCTCCTTCCTCTCCCCACCCCCACCCCGGGGCGCGGGCCTCGTGGTCAGCGCAGTCGCGGGGAGACAAAGGCCGCGGCGCGGGGGCTCAAGGGCACTGCGCCACGGGCCCGCGCTC